CACAGGAAGGAGCTCCGTGGGTGGAAAGGCCTCTGTGTGGGCATTGTCCAGGGAGCTTCAAGGGAATCGGGGACAGCTTTGTGGGCACAGGGAGGAGAAGGCTGGGATTCACACAGACCACACGCCGCCACCTCTGCCTAGTGGCCGGCCAGCCAAAGGCATGTGGTGTGCGAGGCACTTCGTGGCGGAGGCAGGCAGGGGAGGTGGAAGCCTTCCAGTTCTTTCCGCGTTGAGTGACTGGAGCCGCTCGCCGATGTGCAGTTGTCAGTCACACTGGCCAGGCGTTGTTTTGACGCCAGTTGTCCAGATTCGGAATGCGCAGCTCCAAAACAGGTATCTGTTTTGAAGGTAGTGTGCTGCGTGAGCAGCAGATCACGGGTGACAACATACAATTAAATATAAACGCTCGGCCTGTGAACTTGGAGGGTTGGTGAAGTTTCAGGTCTGACTTGTTAAACTTGGCCTTCCTCAAAAATTGGACACCTTTCTTCAAAAACAGCACTTCAGGGAATCAGGCCTAGAGAGAGGTGGCGTCCTCAGCTGAACACAGACCTCTGTTGGCCCTCTCCGGCCTCGGGAAAGAAATACATCAAGCCCGGGCTAGAGAAAAGGATCTGTGGTACCTGAGGTCTTCTTTGTCTTTCCTACTGGTTCCATCTTGTTTCAACCATTCGTGCGATGACTATCTATGAGGCATTTGCAGGGAGGAAGGCACATATCTGGGGAGGTAGTGACTGGGCCGATGGGCTCCTGCTCTCATGATTCTGTGAGCCACTTGAGAGCAGGGGTTTCGACTCTTATCTTTATACTCCCAACACCTATCACAGTGTCTTCTGCCTAGTAGCTCAGTCAAGATTTGCTGAATGACTGCGTGAACGGATGCTATTTCCCACCCCCTCCTGTACTTAATATTGTTCTATATCTTTGTTAACTCCTTCCTCCTGCTGTCATTAGTGCTTATTTTTCTGGCTTGGGTGACTGTCGAGAACAGCTAAGTCCCAACTTCCTCTCTCTCGCACTGCATGGACCTGGCAGTTGTTAGTAACTCACCTCTCAGCCTTCAGTCCTCCAGCTCCCTCTGGTCTCCCCCTGGCATCAGCATCTGCTCTTGGTCACCTGTAATAAGAAAAGTCATTTGTTTGCTATCTGATGGGCCTTTAGAGCTTGCAAAGGTTTTCCCTTGTTAAAGTAAAGTATGATTTCAAGGGCTGCAGAAGAGCCACTAATAAGCCCCAACATCACACCTTCTGCACGTCCCCAAAGACCACACCTCACCCCACTCCTCCCACCTTAAAGTCCAGCATCAGCAAAGTTAACTTTCATTCCACCATTAAAATGTGATTTAGAGAGCACTTGCCCTAACACAGGCATCGCATGGACATTCACATTTGCTCACACGGTAGTGTGAGTTCTACCACCTCCTGTGCTGAAGGTGGGTTTACGGTACAGAGGAAAACTGGAAAACCACAGAACAGTCCAAAACTTTGCCCCAGGCCAGACCCACCCAGCAACAAATCTTTCACCATAGCCGTTAGGGTCAGCAGTTACTAAGATACTATTATTGTTATTGTGGTTTACTACATTTACTATGGATGAGAGGACTACTATTGCCATGAGTGCGTTTTTACAATCTAAACACTAGGCAAGCGGACTCCTCCTTCTTTTGTGACAAGCCAGACTCTCGATTACTTTTTCACAGATATTCACAAACTAGGCTGATCCTTTTGTTTTTAAAGTATCAACAGATACTCTCTTAAAATAGTCCCAGGCTCTATCAAAGGGAAAGGTTTCGACAGCTTGTAAATTTAAAGAGAACTGGAACTAAAAATAGATAGATAGACAGACAGACAGATACCCCACCGACCTGGGACTAAGAGGAAAGAGTTTCTTGCGGGTAACAAGCACAAGACAGCTAAGGGAGACACTTAGTTCCCTGTCTTTCAACCATTTTCTTCTCCTTCCCAGGCATGGGAGAGCCTCAGTTTGGCAGCTGACTTCCGGAGAACGTTGTGGAAACTGATTAACTCTTGGTCACGTGTTGCAGTGATGAGCCAGTAGCACCCTTGACTCTGAGCACCCCCTCCTCCTATTGGCAGGTTACCTCACTTGTTTATCACTATCACGGCCACCTCCAGACCCTGAAGTCTCACTTCCCACCACAGCCTCCCCCTGCAGAAGAAAGGCTTTCCCCCTGCATACGCGGCTTTCTCACTAGTCGGGTGCTCCTGCCTCCTCTCCATTACTCAGTCTGTTTGCCTGGCTTCTGGTCTCCTGCCTTCTGAATTCTGTGCACTTCTTGACTCCTTGCCCGTGTTCTGTTTGGACTTGTGCAGATGCCTCTGTGGTACAGGCTGCCCTTTTGCCTGATTATCCCTCGCTTCTTTCGGGGTCTCCACAAGCCATAATGATCACGGCCACCACAGAATAGAAAAAAAAAAAAAAGAAAGAAAGCCATCATTTCCCTGACATCCCCTCGAGATGTGACATGGGTCACAACCTGCCCTCAAACAGGGCCTTCCTTGCGCATCCTAGTTATTCCTGTCAATGGCCTAAGTGCTTCCGACACTCCGACCCTTCGTTTTGTCCTGACTGGCCTTCCTGGTGAGATAGAGGACACTGAATGGCAAATAGCAAATCCATAGAAGAACTGGAGTGTTCAGCGTCCCCTCTCAGCCTTGCTCACGAGAAGACATTATTTCCTCCAGATGCATGGAAGAGAATGTTGTTTCATTTCAGTAGATTTTCTTTTTTAGAGCAGTTTTAGGTTCACAGCAAAATTGAGTGGGAAGTACAAAAAGTTCCCATAGACCCCCTCCCCCGCAACCCCTGTACATGTACAGTGTTCACCACCGTCAACAGCTCCCGCCAGAGTGGTACCTCCGTTACAGCCCACAAATCTATGTGGACACATCATTATCACCAAAGTCTACAGTTCACATGCTCGGTACTGTACATTCTGTGCGGTTTGACGTATATACAGCCATGCATCCGTCATTATATTACCATGCAGAATAGTTACAATGCTCAAAAAATCCTTTGTGTTCTGATTTTACAGAATCAGAACACACTGGTCCCTCCCCCCAGCCCCTGGAACACACTGGTCCTTCCACTGTCTTCATAGTTTTGCCTTTTTCAAAATAATCATAGAGTTGGAATCACTCAGTATGTAGCCTTTTCATATTGGCTTCTTTCATTTAATAATAGACATTTAAGGTTCTCTATGTCTTTCCATGGGTTGTAGCTTACTTCTTTCTAGCACCAAAAAATATTCCATCGTCTGCATATAGCACAGTTCATAGATTCATTCACCTACTGAAGGACATCTTGGTTGTTTCCAAGATTGGCAATTATGAATAAAGTAGCTATAAATATCCCCATGGGGAATGTTGTTTTTAATTATATTTTTTAGGGGTGCCTGGGTGGCTCAGTCACTAAGCATCTGCCTTCAGCTCAGGTCATGATCCCAGGGTCCTGGGATTGAGTCCCGCGTCGGGCTCCCTGTTCAGCGGGAAGCCTGCTTCTCCCTCTCCCACTCCTCCTGCTTGTGTTCCCTCTCTCGCTATCTCTCTCTCTCTGTCAAATAAATAAATAAAATCTTTAAAAAATTACATTTTTTATCAGGGATGACTTCTTGAAGAACAGGAGGGAAGAGTTACAACAAATACATGTGGCTCAGTATATAGGATACGTAATCAACCCAAGACTTCCCAAACACCTGTCATCAAATTGTCTATAGAAAAATCACCCAAAAAGCTTATAAAAGACATAGATATTTGAGCCCCACTCCTAAAGACTGATCTAGTAGGCCCAGAAAATCACCAGGTTTAAGAAACACAGGCATTAACTTCCAGAAGGAAGGAAGCAATGGAAAGTTAAAGTCTTGTTCACACCGGGAAGGATCATGCACCTTGAGGGGGTTGGAGATGAACATCCAAAACTCATCTGATGGAGACATTTTGTTCTTCTCTGAGCCTCTTGGGGAAGTGACTTGGTGGCTAAAAGTATTGTTGATATGTGCTATCCTCTCCCATTAAAAGGAGCTAAAAAAGCCCTGGGCACCAAGATGTGAACTATTTCCTTCAGGGTAGAATAGAGCCACTAAAAATAGCCTTGGAAAATAAGGAGTTGTAGAGGTTCAACAAGGAAAACAAATCAGAAATAAATTTGGCACAGAGAAAGGAAGCAGGAGAAAGAGACAAACTCACAAGCAGTTGAGAGAAAGTGGCTATTAGCTTGGGTACATAAAAGCAGGTACATTTTTCCCACCCACAGAGCTGCTGGCTGGCATTCCCGCAGTGTAAACCAGTCCCTCCGGAGCAAAGGAAGATGAGTCAGAGAGGCAGCCGGGATAAGCTAGGTTATGCCAGGGTAACAAACAACCCCCTCATCTCAGAGGCTTAACCACATAATGGTTGTTTCTCATCTGTGGTCTCTGTCCAGTGTGTGTTTAGTGGGGGCTCTGCTCTTGTAATCACTGAGGGCTCTGGGACACGTGCGCTTCTGGGAGCACTATGCCCGGGATCAGCGGCTGCTGCTCTCTCTGGCACCGAGAATTAAATGCATCGGCTGAGGATGATGCAAGCACTTCCACTCACGGTTCACTGGCCAGTGCAAGGCCTCTGACCTGCTTGTGTTCCAGCAGAAAAAAAGAAGTGAAATTATACTATGTATCCAGGAGGAGAATGAAAACAGGTGTAAACAAGTCTGCTGGCTGCTATCATCAGAGAGAGGGGCTAAGGGACAGCAGGTGGCAGACAGGGGAAGGGAAAGTCTCCTTCGGAACCACCACTTGGCAATTCAGGTTTCGTCTCTCTCCTTACTGATCAAGAGGAGCAGGGTATCTCGGCCTCCCTTTCCTGCCGGGAAGGAAAAGTACAGTGTAGTGATGAACAGCCTGAGCCCTGCAGTCAGGCCAACCCCCGCTCCCGTCTGGAACCTACCCGTTGTGTGACCTTGGGAACGCTCTTTAACCTCTCCGGACCTCACTCTTCTTCGCTAAGATGGATGACAACAGTGTCTACCTCCCAGAGTTGTTGTGAGGGTTGGGGTCAATGAGATTAGGCAAGGAAAGAGCTTCAGGCCACAGCTGCTCCGACTGGGCTGTGCCAGGAAGCCTCTCGGGGAGCTTGTTAGCATGCATTTCAGTTTCAAACGTTTTGGGTGAGACCTGACATCCTGCATGTCGAATAAGCTCCAAGGTGATGCCGATGTTGCTGATTCCTAGGCCAACCTTTGGTAGCGAGGATTTAGAGCAGACAGTGCCCAGACGTGGCTGACTGTATGGATTCTCAAAACTGGATCAAGAGGTTCCAAAGGTTCTGCTGCCCCTGCCCTCCGCGAATGGAAGTTACAGCTGCCTGTTAATGCAAATATCGTGTCTGATGGCTCCAGGGACAAACGTACTATGGAGGCCTTATGCATGACGGAGCAGGTGCCACAATCAAGACGCCTGGGTTTGTATCCGAGCTCAGCTACTTAGCAGCCCTGTGCTTTGGACAAGTCACGGAAACTGTCTGAACTCCCGTATCTACATCTGTAAAGTGAGCATAAAAACACAGACCCACCATCCCTCAGCTGCGATCCTACAACCCAGAGAGCTCTGAAGTTTCCTCACCAAGGTTGGCCCACATTGACATGGCAGCAAAAACAGATCTAAATTGACATGAGGCTATTTATGGCCTTTATGTTATCTGTCTCTTGCGACTCCTTCTCTTTTCATTACAGAAATATGAATGTGTTTGATAACAAGACGCTGCTGCAGACTCTGCTGAGGGGGTTGGATAATATATAGCAGGTGAACCATATTACCTCCCAAGCAACTAAAACATCTGAATTCTGACACACACCCGGCCTTAGGGGTTTTAGGGAAGATGCCATGACCTGAAGTTCCTCCTTCTCCAGCAGTTGAAGGGAGTAAGGGAAAAAAATGCATGTGAAGCTCCTAGCATCCCACCTCACACATAGTCAGTGCTCAACAAAGAAGAGTTATTACTGAAAGTACTTTCCACCCCGTTCCCCCCATGGACAGAGGGGAAATGAGTGGGAGGTCGTGCCCGTGCACCTGCTAGAGATAAACAGGACAGGATCAGGTTTGTCCCTATGGTTTCAGCCCCTTGATTTGTCTTTTGCTTTCTCCTAAATAAGAAAAAAAAAAAAATGCATGGAATTGAATACAGACCGTGAGAGCGCAAACAGGGAGAGTGAACAAAAGCAAGACTCAGGCGGGCGGAAAGGACCCTCCCCTGTGCCTACAGAAGCAGCCCGGCAGGAACTCAGCTCCATGGGCTGCCAGGGACATCTGCGTTCCTGGAGGCCTCTTTGAATATACTGTTGAAGAGTCTCACTTGAGCAAAGGACTCAGAGGGAGGAGACCAGATCTCCAGTTCTTACCCTGCCATTCACCTTCCAGGGAACTCCAGGATTCCCAGGTCTCAGTTTTCTTACGTAAAAATGGGCCGCTCATGCAGTCCTGACTCCAACTGCCTGATTGCAGGGGACACGTAAAAAGCATCTCAGATGCTGTGTTTGCAGGTAGAGTGTAATTATTCATTGGACTCCAAGCAGGAGATCGCAGAGAGAGCTGACATCACACAGGGAACTCTGGTTGGCTCGTTCTTTAATCATACTGCTGTTGTCAACTCTAAAGTCTTTGTTATTTGCACTCGGCTCCCTCACCTTTGCCAGAGCCATTTCTGCTTGTCAGTTAAGGCCGGCGTGATTGAGTTTTCACGAGATGCAAGTTAACGGAACTGCTTCAGCCCCACCATCACATACAGACAACGGAAATCAAGGCTTTGGGATATTGTTTTTAGGCTAAAAAATGACAGTCATTTGAAAGAAAACAAATACAAACAGGACACATACTTGAGAATTTGTTCTTCCCACTTCTGTCTTTAGCTATGTCTGCAGACTTTTTGGCTAGTGGCTTTCTTGCTGTCTTCATGTCCCATGTTAAGAGCACTGATTTTAGGGTCAGATCAGAGTGAGCCCCCAGGATCCACTGCTACCATGGGACTAAGGCCAAGAACAGCAGGAGGACACTGGCACAGAATGACGTGCCTTTGGGGGCATCCACAACCACAGTGGCTGGTCATTATAAAAGACAAGAGGGTGGGTGGAGCCGCATGCCACACTAGGGCCAGGAGATAGGACCTGGGAGGAAAAAGCTTGCCCACCCATCTGACAAGGCAAGAACACATGAGTGTCCTATGGGCCAAGGGATGCTACAGAAGCCAGCAGGGCCTAAGCCCCCATGATGGGCCCCCGGTAGAAAGATGCTATTAAGCAAACAGCAAGAGCTAATAATGTCACAAGAGGTCAGCCTGAGTGTTCAATCTGGGCCTCTGAGAATTTGCAAGTCTGCTCATGGGAGCCCCCAAGTGCACACCTGCCAAAGAGGGCACTGGTGGCCAATTCAGTCCTGGAAGGGGGTCCCTTTGCCCTTAATCCCTCCACCCTGACTCTAAAGAAGCCAGCCAGAGGGGACATTGGGGTGGCTTCTTTAGAGGCAGGGACAGGATAGAACATCGAGTACAAGTCAAAGAAGAGACCGTTCCCCCGCCCCTGTCCCCACTGCAGATCCCTCTAGCCTGAGTCGGGGGGTGCAGGTGCTCTGAATGAGGGGGGACATTGAAGTTTTAGTATAGCCTCAGGGGGCCATTCAATACCTGAGCTGAGTCTGAATGATCAGAGTAGTACTTGTTTTCACAACCTAACCTGATGAGAAAACAAGGGCTAGATCTGTCCAAGATGCCATCTGGGGGTCGGCAAGGGGTCTGTAGAGCAGCCAGGAGCACAGCTTCTGGAGGGCAAAAGAAACTCATTTTCCTGTTGGTGCCCCCCCCCCGCCACCTCCCCGAGTTCAGCTCCCGTGATAAATTGAGTGCAAATATCAAGTGCCTCACTCAGGTACTGGTACTCAGCTCAGCTGTCAGGTGTCATCGGCAAGTCTTACTATTACCTTGATCTTAATATGCACGGCAAACTGAGGTAGCCCTTTTAGTCAAAGCACAGAAATACAATATATCTAGTAAATGAGAGGATGAAGAGATTTCTTACCCTGTTTTTAAGAATTTAAAAAGCTCTTGTCTTCACAGGCAAATTTAGAACCATCTTCAGAATCAGGCTGCCATGAGGTCTGTTGATAAACTGTAACTGAGACCTTCTAGGGCCCTTCTCACACCTCAGAACATTGTGGTGATGTTGTGTCTGCCATTAGTTCCAGCCGCAGGGAGGGAGCGTGGGGTTGCTGGGGTGGCTGGTTATCTTCCAGACGCCTGTTTAAGGCGTCCCACTAGAACAGAGTCCCCAGTGTACTCGGAGCCTACCTCTCATTGCCCACCCTCAAAATCTTCCCATTCTAGAGCTCATTTCCCCCTGCTCCTGCTCTCTGCTTGCCTAGCATACCTGATAAACCAAACCATTCACTGACATAGCTCCAAGAGGCCAAGGGCCCAGAGGCACAAATCCTTGTTCTGTCATTTAGTCTCTGGGATCCCCATGCGATTACCTTCCTCTCATCTGGCTTCTGCATTCCCATCTGTGAAATGGGAACGGCAGCGCCACTGTTTATCTCACAGAGCTGCTGTGGAGATCCATTGCAGTCCTGGTTGTGGAAGGGCCTGGAAAACTTGAAGACACCATATAAAGGATTATTGAGATGCTCAGGAGTGTAATGTCCTCATTCATTCACCCTGGATAACACTCTGTTCATGAATAGGTTAGACTTCAGTGGACCTCAGGGATGGGAATCCTAGCGATGTTATGGGGTCAGCGTGAAACCCATTTTTGACAAATTTTACTCTGTCCCACTAACTACTTAAAGATCCAGTCATGCTTCTGATCTGAAAATCCCCCTAGACTCAGTGCTTGATCTGGCCACAAATTTGCTGGATTTAAAAGAAAAAAAAATGCTATCAGAATCGGAGTCTTCTTGGGAACGTTCTGCCCCTTCCATGTCACCCTTGCCTGGGCTTGGCACTCACCAGCTCTAAAGCAGTCAATATTGTGGCTCCGCTCAGCCCTTGTCTTATGTAAGGAAATGCCTTTTATTTGATGCCCTAGTGCGAGTCCCCTTGCATGTCAATCTGGTTGGACTCACCTGTGCAGCCCTCGGCCCTGGCCCAGAGCCTCCTGAGAACAGGCCTTTGTCCTCAGCGCTGACAAGCAATGTGAGCTAGCTCAAGCCAAGAAAAACATTTCCATCGGCCCCCAAGAGGTAACGTCCAAGTCCATTGCGGCTCCAGACTGAATCGAGCAATTAAATCCACATCTGCCCTTACCCAAAACCTCAAAAATGTTAACATCTTGCACGTGTCAAGAGGGTTATTTATGAAACTATTTGCTTGTCAACCCCAGGAGGACATTCTGTACTTTTTCGCTGGAATACTGTATATTTATGAACCATGGCTCGAAAACTAACTTTGGCAGAAATATTTATCAGAGAGGAAATTCTGTCAGTGCCTCACAGAGCACAGCCTGGATTCGGTCACCATCCCACGGTGGCTGGGCAGGGCCCCAGTAGAGAGCCAGTCTGGGGCTCCCTGCTGCAGGAATGAATCCCATGTGCGCGCTTCTTCAGCGGAAGGATTTCGATCTCAGATAAGAGGCTTCCTTTCTCGTTCCCTCTGTTTTTAACCTCCATTCTCCCATTCTCAATCTCAAGTAATTAGCCTTGAACGTTGATATAACATGCAGTCTATTTGTTGCCTCCTGCCTTGGATGCTTTAGCACCCCCAGGCTGACCTCATAAGGTCTCCCAGTTTGGAGAACTAGCCTTCTGATCTCCCAGTTTTAGGCTCTGGTTATCTGGGCCAAGTGTATGACACATAGAGAGCCAGTTGGTGAGAGAGCAGAGGGCTTGGTGTCATGTGGGGTAGACCTTAATCTGGGACGGTAAAATACTCAGAAGGAACTGTTTGACACCAGCCTTCCTCAAGACTGTACCCGTGGAGCTAGTACACCTCCAACATGTCCCCATGGTCAGCTTCCTCGGCCAATAAAATCTTCTGCTGACAGGAATTCTGCGCCTGTCCAGCATCTTGCTGGATTTCTTGCTCTCTCTTGAGCTTGGGCAATGAACTTGTAATTCATTTCTTGTCTCTCTTCAGGATTGAAGGGCAGAGTGGGGGGAGTGGCCTGTGAGTGTTCGGATCTAGTCCAGTGACAGATCAAGGAACATGTGTCTCTTGGCACCTAGAGAGACCCAGAGAAACAGAGAGCTCTTCACACTTGGAAGGTGACATCTGTGACTGATCCTTATTGGTCTCGGCAATGTGCTCCCATAGCTGAAATACCTATATTTTTCTTCTTAAAAGCCTTTGAGCCCTGATTAAAGACTTGTTCCTAAAGTCTTGATCTGTAATGACACGCCTGCTAGGTGTCCTTAGAGATAAAGTAAAATTCTTGCGCTAGTTTCCCAACTAGGCCACATAGTAGCAATACTAAATTATTATGATTATTGCCATTTATCAAATATTTGGCATTTAGCACACTCTATTTCCCATTCTTAGAAACTGCAAAGATTTTATCATTCCTATTTTACAGGTTAAAAAACAAAAGGCTGAGACGTGGAGGGGTTAAGTAGGTTTCTGACAGCCACACGACTGATTACAGGTGGAACTGGTATTTGAACCCAGAATGTACCTGCTCTTTGATAGCAGAGAAGAGAAAAGAGATAAGGAGTTGAAAGAAGGAGAGAGGAGAAAACTTGAAGCATAAAACAGAAGCAACAGCTCTGGGGAGTTTGGTGTTGTTTACCCCGAGTTGCCCTTCCAGTCTCGCTTGACCTCCGTGAGGGATACTCCCCGCTACACGTCCCTATGTGGAGGGCCCCAGTGTGTACGTCCAAGGGGGTTTGGGGGTGGGAAGGTCATCTTTGGGCTTTCTGGCAATGGAGACACCAGCAGATTCTGCAGGGGGTCATTCGGGGCCAAGTCAGGAATCTCAAATCCCTGAAAGCTTCTGGGGCTAGTCACTGGGACTCAGACTCCCCAGAACGTCTCTCCGCGCCAAGGTCAGGGCAAAGAACTAAGCTGTTTCTTTATTGGTTCCTCTCCTGCCCCAGCCTTAGCCCACCCCCACCCAAGGCTGGCACCTTGCCAGCAGGGAGCAATGCGTCTTGGGAGAGCAGGGTCATTGGGGCCTCAGGCCACGGTCCAGGCTCAGGAGGTTGTGGGAGGGCCCCCAGGGGTGTGAGGGCAGCCCAGGCTATAAATCCCAGGCCTGGGCATGGGCATAGAGCCAGCAAACTCACTTAGCAGTGCACAGGGAGGGAGGAATGCTTGAGGAAAGGCCTCAGGCAGCCCCCAGACCTTGGCGGGGAGGGGACTTCACCAAAAGCCTTCATCCAAATATGATTTGTTTTATGGAGTCACCAGTCCCACATCTCTGAGCCTCCACATCCTTGTGAATTTGAGCAAAGACTGCATGACTGTTTCACGAACACCCCATCTATAAAGTTAAGCCTTAGGCTGGTTCTAATCCTTATTCTGCTGATGTGTGAATTTAGGTGATATATGAAAAATGGGAAGAACACTTTATAATCTAATAATCTAATAAAGCCTAGAAGATAGAAATTGTGTATTTCAACTCTTAATTCAGACAATCTCCTTCACTTCGTGGATATATGGCTTTGGATGAGTTACTTAATCTCAGTTTCCTAGTCCTTAAAATGGAAACAATGAAATCCCTACTCCACAGGGGCATTGTGAAGCTAAACTAGAACGTGAATATAAACAGATTTGGTTCCCAGCATATAAGTGCTCAATAACTGTGAGCTTTTAAAAAATTATTGCTAATTCAAATTCCTGGAGAAAAAAAATAAAACCATGGGAATGAGAATGTGCTTGGAACATTGTAGGTTACTGTGAGGAATTATGAGTGCCTATAGACAGACAGGTAAATGAAGTTCAGAAATGTTACCACATTTCGCCAAGCTGCAAAGCCAGGCACTACTGGTTTGGGGAATGAGCTCACATCAGAGATTATACAGAAATTGCTCCCAGACTGACTTTATTCAAGAAAAGGAGGGAGGTGGGCAAGTAAAAGAGCTCAAGGGAGGGCTACACTAGATTGGGCTGGTCCATGGCAGTGTTGGCGCCGTGAGCGCTTCCCAGGAGGATGAAGCTTCCAGAATGCTCCTTTGCCAAGCATCCAGTAGCCTGCCCTTGCTCAAGGCCACCACTTAAAGGAACGAGTTCTCCAAACTGGGAGGGATGAGTTTTCCGGATCTGGACTGCACACCAGCTAGTGGGTGTTAGTGGGAAGAGCTGCTGCCTTGAAGGCTGGGAATCCTCAGCTCAAATCTTCTCTTAGCCACTTCCTCACTGACCTTGGGCTACTTACTTAGCCTCTTTGAACCTCCATTTCCCCAGGCTCTAAGGTGTGGATAATGAATGCCTACATTTCAGGGTTTTTGTAAGAACTAAAAGAAGTAGTAGGTGCTGAAACTTACTAAGTGCCTTACTTCTTCCTGCACAGCTCAGTGAAGTGGGCTACTGGACAAATCCTGTTGAAGAAGAGGAGCCTCCACCTTTATTAATGCCTTGACGGCTGAATGCTCGATCCTGGAGACACAGGGTCAGCTTCCTGTCAGGATGGCAATGAGGCAAGAAGGCCCACCCGCTCCGCATTAGAAATGTCAGCCTAAATATTATTTTTAGTTTTCAACAAAACATGTTGTTGAAATCAAGAAAGAAAATTTCTACATGTCAGGAATGAAGAGGGAAGACAAAGCTCTGTAGATGTCTCTCCTCTCACAAGGGAAGGGAAGTCCTAGGCTTCGGTCTGCCTGAGGAGCTGTGGAAGCTCATGGCTACCCAGAATAATGACCTCAGGACTATGTGAAATCCTCAATCAGCAAAGAGTCTCTATGCCTGGTGTGCTACTCTTCCAGAAGCAGGAAAGGAGACTTGGACACTGTAGAAAGACTAATCCTGAAGTATCCAGAAAATTCCTTTACCCAGAATCCCCCACTCTGCTGCTTTCGTTTAGCACAGATTTTACCATGTATGTCAGGAAATGATTGTGCTGACTGTTCCTTTTCTCCATAGTCACTCAGAGTGTTTACCTATTTTTTTTCTTTTCTGAATTTCTCAGCTCTTTTGGAGGGGAACGGGAGACCCTCCCAGGGCAGGAGTAAAATAATCTGACTATGGTTTTAAGGGATCATATGCTTCTTTGTAGTGTATTGCTAAAGACTATTTGGCGGGGGTGGGGCGGATGGAGGATGGAAGCAAGGGTTTGGGGGATGGACAGCATAAGTGAAAGTCAGAAAAGGGAAATGGGAGGGGGTCACAGACCGGCAGGGGTTATTAAAAAATGCGAAGAACCCAGGGTCCCAGCCTTCTCACACCATCTGAGGACACAGTGCTATGGTCTGAGCCCCGAAAGGAAGATAATTAGAGTGAGCAAAAAGCTCTGTCTGATCATCAGGGCCACATGGATGTAAGACATAAGGAGCAATTCACTCCTAATATATTTCTACAGAGCAGAAAACTACAAATGCTTACTAATAAGAATGTTGCCTTTAGATTCATGAAAATGCCTTGGACTTAAATCTCCAGCTGATAAAGAAATTTCTAAGTCATCAGTCTTGAGAGTGGAATAATGCAAATGAAATAAAACGCCGCTTTGAACCCTAGCTGTGCCATTTACTAGCAACCTGGCACAAGCATGTCACTTCTTATTTCTGAGCCTCCGTTTCTTCACCCATGAAACGGGAATGATAATAGTATCCACTTCCTTAGAACATTGCCAGAAAGAAATGAAGTCATGCACTTGAGCACTTAGTAAGACCAGTGATGGTTCATGGTACGCCCTAGATAAAGGGTTGAGGTTCATATTAGGATTCTTTTTATTAAAGACAGGATCACGGCTGTTTTCGTAAAATGCCCGTCGGCTGTTCTGCGACCTTAGACGACTTTAGTCTGCAAACCTGAGTTTGTAGATGGAGCGGTCATGTGCCTGTGAGCTCTAGCTGTACACAACTTGGGAGTGCATCCCAGGCCGGCTGTTTACCAAAGGACTCACTTGGGACCTATGATGTCACCCCACTGAGCCTCATCTTTTCATCTGTAAAATGGAGATTATGACAGAGCCAACTCTCAAAAACCATTTGTTATTGTTAATCTTGATAAGGCAGGTCCTTCCTCCGCTCCGTTTCCCCTCGGTGGCCTCTCAAGGGAACAACCGCCACCCTCACGGCGGGGATTTCGCACTCTAGTTCGGAGGCCCACAGGCAGACGACAAACCACCACAAAAGGTGTGGAGTCTCGCGTTTGTACAGATTGGATTCATCACTCATTTTCCGGGTCAAGAATCCCAGAGAAAGTGTTTCAGCCTTCACCTGCAGACCATGAACACTATGGCGCGGATCCACAGCCCCTTCGTAAACTGCACATTGTTAACAGAATAAAAAGTACAAGACGTCCAGAGTGCGGGAAAGACACCATGAAGATGCTTGGATTAGAAAAAGCACATACTCCTCAGGTTCACAACAATAACCCTCCAGGGAATGCAAAGCTGAAAGGGGCTGAGCATTTGGTAACAGTGAAGCCCCGGAAGTTGCCACAGACACTTCCGGCAGAGGAGGCCGGGAGTTCAGGCGCCCCAAGTGCTCTGCACTGGCCTCGCAGCCCTGTGCACCCAGAAGCAACTAAGTCCTGATGCCTGGTGGTTTCTGATGAAAAGATCTGAAGTATGTTTTAATGAAAACACTTTCTCATCCTCAAGTGTTTTCATTAAAACATGCTTTAAAGGGGCACCTGGGTGGCTCAGTCAGTTATGCATCTGCCTTTGGCTCAGATCATGATCCCCGAGTCCTGGGATCGAGCCCCACATCGGGCTCCTTGCTCAGCAGGGAGTCAGCTTCTCCCTCTCCTTCTGATGCTCCCCTTGCTTGTGCTCTCTCTCTCTCTGTTGAACAAATAAGGTCTTTTAAAAAAAGAAAATATAAAATATATTTTAAATATAAAAGAAGGAGGAGGAGGAAAAAGGTTTACCTCTTTCCTTCTGTGCTTTTTACCTTTTCCTCCTTCTCCATACCAGGAGGCCCAATGAGTGTCATACACCCATTAAAGCCCCGCCCCATACTAGGGACCCATCCAAACAACTTTCAGTTTCTAATATTTGAATGGCACTGCCCAGTCGCTGTCTCAGGGCCACCACACGACTCCTCCCCATCCCTGGAGCTGCCCACATATCAGCAGCTGAAGTCATGATGAATGTTATTAGGGGCAACAAGGGGAAGGGGCCCCGAAATTACCTAGGGGTGAAATCAGCCTGCAGTAAACAATCCAAGTTAATTGTCCAGAAAGGAGAAGCTTCTGTCTTCATAACCCACTTCTCCCATCCCTTCTGAAATCCTTTTCAGAAAGATGGAGACATAAGTATAGATTAGAGCTCAAATAGGTGGCAAGGAGTCAAAATATTTAAAGGGATGGAATCTCTGACTAGTGCACCTCTGGTTGCAATTTGTAATTGCTCCTTCCATGGGTCGTGGGCCTCCCCAGCAAGACTGGGAAATTCGGAAGGCCCCCATGCGGCAGCCAGGTTGGGGGTTCTCCTTCGCATCACGTGACAGTGCTATACCGGGGGCCCGCCTAGTCCACGGAGCCCCAGAGCCTGAAGAAGTAGCATGAGCACATCATTGGGGTGTGTTGGACTATTGAAGCCAGAAAACAGGGAAGTGAGAGGACATCGTGGATTAGAACCAGATGGTGAGGGAGGACAGACAGGAAGTGTCAATCCCACCACTTACTGTGTAGCCTTCCACAGTGATTAAACCTCTCCAAGGCCCAGGGTCCCCCACCCCCAGTGAAATCTCATGGGGCCATGGAGAGAATTAGAGTGTGGATATAAGCCACGTAACACAGGCCTGGCACATAGTAAGTGCTCTGTAATTTATTCACTTAACATGTGTTTAGCCAACAAATAAACAGGGACTTGATATTTTGAATGGAAATCTCCAGCCGAGGAGGCAAGTGTTTGGCCCTGGTTACTCATCCAGTCGTTAGCACTCAGAGGTCCTAACCCCTGGGCCAGTGCTGTTTCCCTGACCCCAGGAAGCACAGTCTCAAGCACCTCTCCAACCCTTGGGCTGGCCTCACGGTAGGGAATCAAGCCTGCCCTATTTTAGAGGCAGTCACCAACAGGCATGATCTTGGAGACACCCTGAAACCCCAACTGGCCTGGGACACCTCTCTAATAGATTCTTCTATCCTGTCCTCCCTCCTGATCTGAAGTGCTCCTTTGTCTGTGGGTTAGGCAACAGGGCCAAAAGAGACTAACAATTCCTGAATTCCATTATGTGCCAAATATTATTCTTGACACACTAAATGCATCTTCTTGTTTACTCCTCATAACACCTCTCTGAGGTAAGTATTCTTGTCCCCAATTTGCAGGTGAAAAAACTGAAGCACAGAAATGTTAAGTGTTTGGATTAAATGATGTCCCCACCCCCAAAAAACCGTTAAAGCCCTAACTCCCAATGCCCCAGAATGTGACCTTATTTGGAAACAGAGTCACTGGGAATGTAATTAGGTAAGTAAGATGAGGTCATTAGAGTGGGCCCCACTCCAATATGACTGGTATCCTTACAAAAAGGGGACATTTGGATGTAGAGGCATGCTCAGAGGGAGAACACCGTGTAGAGATGAAGGCAGAGACTGGGTGAAGGATCTACAAGCCAAGGATGCTAAACTATTGCCAGCAAACCACCAGAAGCCAGGACAGAGGCATGGAACAGATCCTCCCTCACAGCCCCGGAAGGAACCAACCCTGCGGACACCTTAATCTTAGACTTCTAGCCTCTAGAGCTGTGACATAATAAAGTTCTGTTGTTTAAACCATTAGTTTGTGATACCTGGTTCCAGAAGCCCTAGCAAATTAATACAGTGATTGTGGACCCACCCACACCACTCATTGTTCAGGCCGGAAACCTGGAGGTCACTACCGATTCCTCGCTCTCCCTTGCTCTCCCATGCAATCCAGCACCAAGTCCTATTGATGCTTTTCCCTTAATATTTCTAATTCATTACCTCTTCCCATCTCCATTGCCACTGCTACCATGCAAGCTACCTTCATCTCTCAGCTGGATCACCATAATCACCTTACATCGGGTTTCCCTAACTCTTGCCCTAGCCCAACACAAATCCATTTTCCTCATAGCGTGATCTTCACCAAAGAAATCAGATCTCACCACTCCCCTGCTTAGGAGCCTTGCAATGGCTCCCCAGTCCTCTTGGGACAAAACCTATACTTTTTCCTAGGCCAGCAATCTTGGTCCATCTCAATCCTACCTCATTTCATCTTTGATCTCTGTGTGTCATGCAGATTTGCCTTACTTTTAGTTATTCAAGTTCATCAAGCCCTAGATTATCTCATAGTCTTTGCACATGCTTATGCTTGGCATGCTTCCCCACCCACCCACCCACCCACCACCCATGTTTCCATCCCCTAACTCCAACATAGCCTTCTGCTCACAACCTAAGTGACTCCTCGAGAGCCTTTCCTTGACCATCATCCCTCTCTAGATTATTTCTGCCTTGTCATTCTCTGACTGTGCACTGGTTCTTTTTCTTCAAAGATCTTACTGTAGGGACGCCTGAGTGGCTCAGTCGGTTAAGCATCTGCCTTTGGCTAAGGTCATGATCCCGGGGTTCTTGCTCAGCAGGGAGCCTGCTTCTCCCTCTCCCTCTGTCTGCTGCTCCCCCTGCTTGTTCTCTCTCTCTCTCACAAATAAATAAAATTTTTTTTTAAAAAATCTTACTATAATTTGTATCTGTGTATTATTTAAGGTCCATACTTCCCAAGGGGACTTTTTAGGAATAGAGACCTGTGTTTCATTCACCCATTGTATCCCCGCTAGCCTAGTACACAGTACCTGGAACACTGTTGGCACTCAATAAATACTTCTTGAATGAATTAATGAAAGTCAGCATTAGCATTCAAGCCAGGTCCCGTATGATTCTGAGGCTCTTCCCCTGTAGCACCCAGGCAGTTACCTCTTAACGGTGAAAATTAACCCGTTACATAATTTCTGCTTCTGACTTGCAGAGTAGCTTGATTTACCAAACCCTTCTATTATTTTTAATTAAAAATAACTATAAAAGCTGGATTAAGTTCAAAGACCAAAAAAGAGTCTATTTGATGGCATCTGAGAACAGCCAAGGCAACCAGAAGTGAAGGCACAAGATTCCAGAGGGAAGGGACTCCTAGAGCAACGAGCCTGACATTTTGCCCCACTTCCTACCTGAAGGAATTCGCTGCATCCTCAGCTGGGTGGGAGTGACAGGCCAAGAAACCAAGCAGAAGGCAGCTGGTCCGAACCTGAAAACACTATAGCTCTCACAGAGTCGGAGAGATAGGAGGGTTGTTCATCGACATAAGGATGAGGGGCCCCAGTAAAAACTCCAGGCTCCCAGTGAAGACAGGGTGAGGACAGACTGGAAATAGACTAACCCTCATTCACTCTCTTCTCCGTCCCTGGTTGGATAGGCAAGATCTGTTCCTCCTGTAACTGCTGGTCCAAAGAACACAAAGCTTTCCCTGGAGAAAGAGGACGCCATCTAGAATGTCCAGAATTTGGCATAGCCGAAGTCCAGCACTTATTTGCAGCCCGAAGAAGGCTGTCGTCTTCAAAGAAGACCGTGTGAATTCCCCTGGACAGGCCCAGACAGAGCCCAGGGGCAGAGCACAGGGCGAGGAGAAGGAGGGCGGGTGAGGAGCGACAGCTGGCAATTGGGGGCCGTGAACAGAACTCCGCCGGCCGCAATCACACCGCGGAGCCAGAAAGCTGCCCCCGGGCCCGCCGCACGCGAGCGTGCGGCAGACCCGATGCTAAGAGCACGCAAAGCAAATGTCGGCGAAGGAATGACTTCCCTCTTGACCGGTGACAAAATTGGCTGCAAGTCATTAGAATAATGTAATACTACAGCTGGAAGGGCCCCGAAAATTTGTCTAAGCCAAACCTTTAAATTTTTTGCTTTAATGAGAAAAGGCCCGGAGGCCCTGAGAGGGGAAGCGATCCTCCTACATCCACCCTAAAAAATGAGATCCTCCTTGAACACAGACGGCCGGGCTGCCCATTCAGCCAGACTCCCTCCCAGGTTTACGGCCTCACTGAAGCTCCAACTTCAGACGACTCGAGTCAGCAACCCATCAACACTGCAAACAGCTTCCAAGAGACTATAAATGTCATGTTAGACGTCAGATGATAAATGTCATTTCTCCTCAGTGAACAGAGCCCTGGTGGGGAAATACAATGGGATTCCTGTGGAATTAAATTCTTCCTCTCCCCAAGAGCACCACAACATTTTCCCATTTACAGTGTTGTCCTAATAAATACAAAGGAAGTCATAATTCACTCCTATTATTTAAAATAGTTGTGATGTCCACGTGCGGCAGGATGTTTTCCATCAAGCAGCAGCTGGACCTGCAGAAAGCACAAAAGCTCCCATTTGTGTTGTTACCTTGAAAGTAGGACTGGGGCTTTAGAATCTGGGAAAAGGGCAGCCGATGAGGTGGCAGGAGGGCCAGGTTCCAGCCCTTGCTATGGCACCGTCGGGTCTGGATGCTTTGGGCAAATCCCTTACGCTTGGAATAATGCAAACTACTTGTGGAGCTCTGCATTTAGAGTCCGACACATGTCCCTTCCTGTCACCTTC